CCCTGGATTATCTTTTAGGGCTGCTGTGACTTCTTCAAGGTCACTCAGCCACTCAGCACCCCAGTGCCTGGCCTCTACCTGGCACGTGCAACCCTGAGGCCTCCAGGGCTGGCTGTCCTCTCTGAACTCCCAGTGCCATCAGGCAGAGGGAAAGTCCTGGCGCGACCTTCCCCTCCATGTCACAGCCAGGCATCGGCCTTGAATGGAGCCCAGAAGCCAGAGTAGGCAGCTGCGGTGGGGGTAGGGGGACAAGAGCCCACGGCCTTCACAGCCTCTGGGCCCTGCTGTGGAGCCCAAGTGTGTCCTCGTGTTCTGTCTTGCCCCAGGGCCAGCCCAGCCGGGCAAGGGGCAGACTGCTGACCTGCAGACGCACGAGGGAAAGTTCCCCCCATCTGCCACTTCAGGAGAATGTTGGAGGCAGAGGCCAGAGAAGTTCATTTTTAACTTGGGCTGGATTTGGAGGTTGAGAGGTCAGTGCTAGCTGCTGTCCCCTGTTTACCGACTGCCATCCTCCCAGTGCGTGGCGCGGGGCTGGCTCCCAAAAGATGCTCGGGAGGTATTTGCTGCCTGGATGAGTGAGGGTGGGTGAGTGAGTGAATGGATGGGCGGGTAAGACGCAAGGCCCGGGCTTTGCTCATCTCAGCGTTGTTCTGCCCACCGTGGGCCTCGTCAGTTGTGCTCTGTGGATGTTTATGGGACGAGTGAGTTGCCCTGCGGGAGCCCCTCCCCTCTTTCCCCTCCTCCCCCCTCCTCCTCCTTCTCTGGACCGCAGCCCCTCCGGGAGTGGAATCAAAGTGGATTTGGGTGCTGGGGAGAAGCAGGCCGTTGCTTGTGCTCCTCCCCGCCAAGCGGATTGTGAGCTGGGGGCTGACAGGGTCCCCGCCAGGTGGAGCTGCCGGAAATGTGGGGCTGAAGGTTCCGAGGCTGGTCAGGGTTGACATCCTCAGGCTCTGCCGCCCAAAAGCTGTGTGGCCTCGTACAGATTGCTTCCCCTCTCTGTGCCCATTTCCTGCCCTGTGAAATGGGGCCACAGAGGCCACTGGGAGGAGGCAGGGAGGTAGCACAGACAGACGCACGTGGGTTCGGCACAGCGAACGGTCAGTGAATGATCGCCGCTGTCACTAGCGTGAACGTACGTGTCACTGTCTCCAAGCCACCGTCCCCACTGGCCTGTGGGCTCCCTGACGCCCCCTGCAGCCAGACAGACAAGGGCGAGATGACAAAATGTGGGCAGGGCCAAAGGCCCCAATCCCCTGTCCTTTTAATAAAAATAAAGACAGCCTTTCGACATCCCCTCCGATTCATTGTTCTGCCAAGGCGAGCAGCACAGACTCGAGTCCTCCTCGGACTCGGAAAGTTCCTTCCTTTCTTTCCCTCCCCGTCACAGTTCCGTTATCTAAATCCTCAGCTATGAAAGGGCATATCGACAGCTGGGGGCGTTATCTGGCGGAGGGGACCTTTCCTCGGGTGTCTCCGAGATAAGGCGTCTTATCAGCCCCCATGTCGGGGAAGGTGCCAAAGCATTCTAATCATTGAGGCTTTCGACATTTTCCCCCTCCCTTACCCCCCCCTTTTTATTATTAAAGTCACAAAAGACCTTGAGCTTATAAACAGTCTGATTTGCAGATAGGGTCTGAAAATGAGCAGCGCTTCCTGGATGGTCCCTGGCCGGGGGAGTGAAGGGTCCAGGAGGGGGGCTGCGAGGCGCTGGCTCTCTGCAGATGGGATGACGCCAGGCGAGGAGGGGGCAGGGGAGGGTCACAGGAAGATCGTGTTTTAGGCGCCCACCCCCCTCCTGTCCCTGCCTTGCTGTGTGACCTTGTGCAGGACGCTCGGCTTCTCTGGGCTTCGGGCAGTTCATCTGACAGTAGCCAATTGATTGATTCAGTTGTTCATTCAACACCTGTTTATTAAATGATGACTCTTTGCCAGGGACTGGGGGGATAGAGGCAAAGAAGACATGGTCCTTGTCCCTAAGAAAACCCACAGTCCAGTGGAGAGACATGAAAATGGCAGTTACAACTCTGTGTGACTAGGGGCTAGCCGGAGAGGGGACAGCTGAGCCCGAGTCTGAGAAGACAGATCTGAGCTGGAACAGATCGGGTGGTGCTGCCGTAGGCGGAGGGCCCAGCACGGGCACAGGTCTGGAGAGGCGTGAGGCAGCCAGGCTGGAAGGAGGGCGGGGGGACCACAGGAGATGAAGGGGGGCCTTGACGTAGGCGCTGGGGATGACGGGAAGTGGAGGCGGTGGCCCACTCATCCCTGTCATGCGTGGCTGGCCCCTGCCCCCTCCCCTACTAGGCCTCCCCACCTGCCCCCAGCAGCAGGGCACAGGGTTCCTGGGAGAATAGGCAGTGAGTTGGGGAAATCGGGGGTACAGAGCGGGGGTACAGGCTGCAGGGCCTTACCTACTGGACCTCCAGAAGTGAGGAACAGAATGATCCAGGCAGCTGCCTTGGAAAAGCTTAGGCCAAAGCCTTAACTTGGAATGGATGTCTTCGATTCCTGAAAATCCTCTGTGGCCCCTGACCTCAGTCCCTTCTTGGCTCCTGGAACTGCCTGGGCGCCCACCACAAGAGCACTCTGGGAACCAGAGCCCCTCTGGGAGGGCCGGTGATGGGGTCAAGAGAGGCTCCGGAATAGGCGACCTGCCCCTGCCCCCCACAACTGCAGCCCCCAGCCTGCCCGCTTGCAAAGTATGCTGGGATGTATGGCCCATGGGGGAGTAGTTGGGGACCTGGACAGGAGCTGGGCTTCTGGACCCCTGGCACCTGGTAGGGCTGGGAGTGGCCAGGGCTCTGGAAGAAAATGACCTGGCAGGGACCACAGGGGTCACGGAGCCACGTTTAGAGGCAGAGAGGGTCAGTGGCCCACCTGGGGTCCTGCAGCGTGTGCTGGGAGTGGGAGAGGCTGCGGGTTTCCTCAGGGAACCCGGTGGCCCTGGCACGTGATGGGACGTCCCCATAGACTGCCTGTGTGTACATGAGAGGGCGCCAGAGAGTGCCAGTAGGCGTGGAAGGGCATGTCACGCAGCATATGAGTACACGTATGTACACCCGTGAGTGTGCATCAGCGCGAGCGTGCAGGGGTGCCCAGCACAGCGTGTCCGAGCACGGCAGAGCGTGCCCGTGTGCACGGCGTGTCCTCCAGGGCTGCCCAAGGCTGTGGTGGTCGTGGTCCCCGGCCGGGCTCGTGCCTGCCACCTGCTCACGCCCCAAGTCCCCAAGGAGAAGAGCGGCGCTGCTTCCCCGCAGTCAAGGACTTTCATCCTGCAATAAGCCCCACTTCATTCCCTTTTTAAACTGTATAATTTCTGCCTGATTGTAATGGCCTATTTTAAAATTACCAGAAATCAAAACCGGGAAGTGGATACTGCAGCTTTTATCGCGTCGCTGTGTTAAGGCTGGCGATTGGGAGGTGGCGAGAATCCCCTCCCCTGCCTTCCCCACCCCGCCAGACATCCATCCATCCCCCACTTTCCCTTCTCTTTCTTTTTTTTTTTTTTGAGACAGTAATAGGAGAAAATTGGTTTTGAAACTGAATAAAAGTCCCTTTCAGAGGAAATCATTTCTTTCAGGGTACCTTTGCTGAAAGTAAAATAGAGCATAATGAAAGGTGGTTACGTGATTGTCTTTCATTTACCAAGAGGCCAGGACAGACGGGAGGCTGCAGCCGTCTCGGGGAAATACAAGATTGGAATAATTACGCCGTAACAAGGAGCTTGTTGTGAAATTAGTATCTTAAGAAAGTAGTGAAAAAAGGCTTCTCCTCATGAATACTTCATTATTAGAAGCAAGCGGCAGAATTTAGGGCTCCAGACACCTGTTTAGTATTAAATAACTTCCCTTTCTTCCCCTTCAACACACACGCTCTCCTTTCTTCTCCTCCTTTTTCCGAACCAACGGGAGGATTGAGGTGACCCAGCTCGGCTGCTCGGGATGTGGGGGGACAGGAGGCGGTGGGGCCGGGGCGCCTGGGTGGGTGGACATCAGGGGTGTCCAGGGTTGAGCTCACACCGGGACCTGGGCCTGCCTTCTCCTTAGCTGGAAGAGAAGAGGGGAGGGACCTGGCAGGGCAGCTCTTCGCCCCCGCCCAGGGGCTCTGGGGAACGTGCCTCAGCTTCCCCACACGTTATCTGCAGGAAAGCGGGTTTTGTGAAGATAAGGCGAGTTTTTGTGAGCGCCAGGCACTTGACTCTGGGTGAGGGAGGACAGCCTGGGCCCGTGCGGAGCCACATCTGAGCTGCCACCTACATGGCCTGGCAGGATGGGGCTGTCGTGGGTGGCCCTGCCCTTCCCATTTGGGGTGAGGATCCCGGCTCAGCGCAGCCTTGGCGGCCCGTGGGGGCTGGGGCCAGGGCTCAGCATGGTCAGGACTGGCAGGCCGCTCGTTCTCCCAGGGACGTGCCATCCTGACATTGCTCCTCCAGGGGTGCTGTATGGATACGCCAGGCAGGGGCAGACCAAATACTTCAGTAGACTGGGACACCCATGTGGCCACTGGCATTTCCTGGGCACCCTCCGCGTAGACTCCAAAGATGACTGGGTGGGGTCTTCACCATTGATGAGCTCAAGGGCAGCCTGCTTACAGGGGGTTACGAGAGAGCCAGGGGTCCCCACCAGCCGGAAGGACAGCCTGCTGTGGGACAGGGAGGGGGCGAGGTCTGACCCAGCCTGGAGGCAGCGGGGCAGCCCCCTGGAGCAGGTGACCGCACAGTAGGCGGGGCCAGGGCCACGTCTGACTTGTCGGTTCCAGCCCTGTCATGGTGGAAGTCCACCACTCGGGAGTCCTGGATCCTGTCGCGTCCTGCGAGGCCACAAATGAGCCTCTTGATGCCTCAGAGCCTTGGTCCCCTCATCTGTCAAATAAAGGGGTATCTGTTCTGAAAGTCTCTGGTGTTCTGCGGGGCACTGGGGAGGCTGCTGGCAGGGACTCCCCAGGGGTGGCAGGAGGCGGGCACGGAGCACTCCCAAGTGACGAACACCTCTCCCTCCTCACAGGGACCCTGCCGCAGAGTGCGCCCCACCAGGGCCCCCCAGCTCTGCCATGCTGGCCTGTCTGCAGAGGACCCAGAACCCGCCGGGCCAACGCCTGGCCTGCCCGAGCAAGAGCCTGGAGCTGCGCAAGTGTGAGTGGGACGCCCTCCCTCTGCCCAGCCCCTCCTCCTCCTCCTCCTCGCCCACGCTGGGTCCACTGGGGCTGGCTTTCTGTGCCTCCACGCTCCATGCTCACGCCCACCTCTGGCCTCGGCAGGGCAGGTCCGCAGGCAGGGAACGCCATTCGGCCCTGAGCATGTCGCCCCACCGCGACCCTGTCTGAGAGTGTCTGTGTTCTTAGCCCTCTAGGCCTCTGCCCATGCTGTGCCACCTCCCTGGACCCGCCCCCCCCTCCCGCAAAATGACACCCGCCGCTCCTTCCTAGCAGCCTTCTCGCACCAGCTCCACAGCCCCAACCCCTGCTCTGCCACCCCACCACACGCTGTCACCGCACCCGTGTCTGTTTCATTCACCGTCATAGTCCTGACTGGGGTCCCAGCTCCAGGCTCCGTTTGCTATGTGATTTGGGGCATATCCTTCCCCTCTCTGGCCTTGCTTTTTCAACATGTCCAATTAGGGAGCTGGACTTGGAGACTTTCAAGGGTCTGTCCTCCCTGACCAACTAGGACCAGGATCTCAGACCCTCTGATCTGAGTATTTTTAGCCACCACAATATTTAAAAAAAAAAAAAAATGTGAAGCACTTGGAAACAGTTAAACATAGGGAGATTTGCATAACAATCTGGATTTCTAGTATCTCTTGGAAAAAATCTGAGGATCTAGTAACACAGGCCTGCGTTCCTGTACCGCAGCTACTGGTTAGGGCTGAGCTACTGCCTCTGTAATGGGACATCCATTCTCGTTCACCAAAGTCCCCACCCCTCCCTATCGCTCCCGTCCTGCGGCCCGGGATCAGTTGTCATTATGCTTACACTGTGGCTTCTTTATTTTCTTTCCGATATGTATGTGTAGACAAGGTAACACACTTACGTGATCTAAAACTCAAAAGGAAGGAAGGGGTATACAGACTAAAGCTTCTACCCACTCCCCTGCCCAGAGGCAGGTGATGTTGTCAGCTTCCCGTGGATCCTTCCAGATGTTTTGTGTATGTCCCAGCAAATATGCGTACATGCCTATTTCACGCACTTGCACCTCATGTTTTCACTTTGCAATACATCCTGGACGTCGGCTTCTAAAGAGCTTCCTTGCTCTTTTGCCGCATAATTTTCCGTAGCAAGGGTGAACCGTGACTCATTCGGCCAGTCCTCTCTTTAGAGTGTATCCAACCTGTTGCCACGACAAGCAAGGCCGCAGCAGTGAACCCTATGTCACAAAGGTGTGGATAAAACTGCAGGGTAAATTTCTGGAAGTGGGAATTGGGCTTTGACCTGGACTGGGTCAAATGTATGTGCGTTTGTCATTTTGGTAGATGTGGTTGGACAGATTTCTCTAGATGTTGTACCTGTTGACACCCCACAGCACCAACGACGACCGGATGGGGTCTTCACCCTTGTGTGAGAGGGTCTGTTCCCTACACCCTCACCAACACGAGCATGGTATCAAACATTTAGGCTTTGCTGAGCAGTGAAAACAGGATCACAATGTAGTTTTGATTTAGTTTAATGCGAATGATGTTGAACATCTTTCCATGTTTGAGCCTATTGTTCTTCCTTTGCATAATCTACATATTTCCTTGCCCATTTGTTTGATGGGGTGGTGGGTTTTGTCCTTACTGATTTGTAGGAGCTCTTTGTAAATGATGGAATTGGACCTCTGTCTGTCGAAAGAATTGCAGATGTTTTGTGTCATACTTAGAAAGTCTTTCCACAGGCTGAGATTTTTTTAAAAAAACTTCTCCAAGGTTTCTTCTAGTTCTGTTACGGTTTTAAAAATATATATACGATCCCTGTGTTTTAAAAGGTTGCTTCTAGTTCTTTTATGGTATTTCTAACAATACAGGACTTTGACTGTTGTGTAATATATAAATATATCTGGTGTAAAGTGTGAGGTATGGATCCAAGTGTATGTAAGTATCAGGGCAATACTCTTTTAATTATCATAATGTTGTATTTTAAAGATGTCACAGCTTTATCGAGGTATAATTCATATACCACTCACCCCTTTGAGGTACACAATTCAGTAGTTTCTAGTATATTCACAGAATTGTGCAACCATCACCACAGTTCTCGAACATTTTCATCACCTGAAGAAGTCACCCTCTTCATTCCCCCAGCTACCCCTTCTTTTTCTGTACATTTCCCTATCTTGGAATTCCACAAGAATGGAATCATACAGTGTGTGGTCTTTTGTGACTGGCTTCATCCACTTAGCACGTTTTCAAGGTTCATCCACACTGTAGCATGTCTACACAGGTTGAGTATCCCTTATCCAAAATGCCTGGGACCAGAAGTGTTTCGGAATTTAGAATTTTTCAGATTTTGGAATATTTGCATTATACTTACCAGTTGACCATCCCAAATCTGGAAAATCCAAAATGCTCCAATGTGTATTTCCTTTGAGCATGTCAGTGTTCAAAAAGTTTTGGACTTTGGAGCATTTTGGATTTGGGATGTTCAACCTGGACCACATTTTGATATTTGATGGAGCTTGTTGCTTCTTGTTTTCCTGCCCCCACATGAATTTCCTTGGCTGTTTTATTTATTTTCCTGTCTGAACTATAGAATCCACTTATCTAAGGTGAAAACAAAAGTCCTGCTCATGTTTTTTATTGGGATTGTATTATGATTTTTTTTTTTTTTTTGGAGACAGGGTCTTGCAATGTTGCTCAGACTGGAGTGCAATTGCTACTCATAGGTGCGAGCATGGCGCCCTGTAGCCCTTGAACTCCTGGGCTCAAGTGATCTTCCTGCCTCAGCCTCCCGAGTAGCTGGGACTACAGGCATGCGCCACTATGCCCGGCTAATTTTTTCTGTTTTTTTAATTGTTTAGCCAATTTCTTTTCTATTTTTAGTAGAGACGGGGTCTCACTCTTGCTCAGGCTGGTTTCGAACTCCTGAGCTCAAACAGTCCGCCCGCCTCGGCCTCCCAGAGAGCTAGGATTACAGGCGCGAGCCACCGCGCCTGACCCATGGTAGCTTTTCTTTTGTGTCCCTCAGGAATTTAACATTTGCTTCATTTAGATCTTACACATCATCGATTAAGTTTATTTCTGGATAGTTTAGCTTTTTTTTTTTTTATTTGCCCCATACGACTTGTAGGAATGGTCTTTTTTTCCATAAATTGAGGTGGTTTATATGAAGGCGATTAACTTCTACCACCTTACTGAATTCTTTCATTGTTTGTAATGGTTTTTCAACTTAGGCTCTTGGGTTTTCCAGTTATACTATCATATCATTTTCAAATGATAATTTCACCTCCTACTTTGTTTTATACTTTAATTTCTTTGTCCTATTTAATAGAGTTGGTTACTCTTCCTGGATAAGAAAAATAATAGTGGTGATAATAGACATTCTTGCTTTGTGGCTTCTAGATTTCCTAATTAGACAATGCTGGTTTGGGGGCAGATATTTTACCAGGTTAAATAAGTCTCCATCTATTCCTGTTTTATTAAGGATTTTTAAAAGTCAAGAATGGAAGTTGAACTTTGCCAAATTACTTTTCAGTGTTTATGAAGATGATCATATGTTATCTTTCCTTCAGTGCATTTAATATTGAACTATCCTTGCATTCCAGACTAAACCCCATTTGGTCATGGTGAATAGTTCTTTATAATATACTACTGGATTGGATTTGTTGTTTTATTTAGGATTTTACCTCAGTTTCATTGGTGAGATTGCTTTTTAGTTTTCATTTTTCTAATTTTTGGAGCAATTTTGGTTGGGTTTTGCTATATTACACTTGCTTCACAAAGAAAACGGAGGTTTTCCTTCTTTATGGTTTGGAACAGTTTAAATTGACAGAATTATCTGCTCTTTAAAGTTTTGTTGATCCTCCATGAAACTGTTAGGACTGGTACATTTATTTGGGGTGATGGATAGCTCTTTGATAATGTTCTCTATTTCTTCTGTATTAATTGGTCTACTTTAATTGTTCTACTGCTTCTTGAATGAGTTTGGTAAATTAGTTTCTCTAGAAAACTATCCATTTTATCCAGGTTTTCAAATTTATTTGCATGCAGTTGAACAAAATAATCTTTTGCAATTCTTTTAAGTGGTGGGTGAATCAGCCTTATTTCTTACTTTGGATATTTTGTGCTCCTTTTCCCATTTTTCTTCATTAGGTTAGTTAGCTAATGAGATTATCCATCCCCCTTCCTCAAAGATCCATTTTAGGATTTTCTGGCTTCTAATTCATGAATTTATGCCTTTATCTTTATTAAAGCCTTCTTTCTGCTTTCCTTAGGTTTTAATTTCTTGAGTTAGAGATTTAAATCTTTATACTGATTAAAAAAAACAGGAAAACTTAAGGCTATGAAGTGTCTGAGCACTGCTGAGCTATATTGTGCTACAGGTTCTAATATGTAGTATTTTCATTATCATTATTTTCTAGGTATATTATAATTGTGGTTTTGATTTCTTCTTTAACCTAATACTCATTTGAATCCCACCTATCAAGTATTATAGTAGATGCTTTTGTGTTTCATTACCTCTAGATTTTTTTTTGCATTATGATAAGATCTACTTCCTTAGAATTTATTAAAGTTTTCTTTGTGATATAATCTATGGTAATTGTTGTGAATTTTGTGCATTTTTTATGGGGGCTTGAAAAGAAGATATTGGCTCTGTTTTCAAGATTCAGAGTTTAGTGTGTGCCAACAATTATATCCACCACATTGATTATGTTGTTAGGTTTTCTATATCCTTACCTGTCTGGGAGAGACAAAGGAATTAGACACCTACTGCTAACATGTTCCTATCTATTCTTGTAGCACCTGTAGCTTTGGCCTTATGAATGGTGATGCAATGTTATTTAATGCATAGATATAAATACCTTAAATCTTCTTAGTGAATTACATTCTAATAGATAAAACTGAATTCAGGCCAAAAAGGCCAGGATTCAACTTTTATCTATTAAGATGGTAATCTCTGCTTTTTTAATTCGTATTTTTCTTAAAACCTGCCAATCCTTTTAAT